GAAGAATATACACAGATAGAGACTATGCACCGCTAAATCGGCGTCTGATAAAGACTTGCACTTAGAGGCTTCACCGACAGTGCCGAGATTCGCCAAACGCCGGAGTTCGAGTCTGAATGTATCATTGACAGCAGAATTCTCTGAGCTGCAGCCAACACCATCCTGCAAATCTACATTGGCTTTCACCTTTTGGTCCTCGACAAGGGGCAAGGTGGCTCACTTCTGTCCCCTCACAAGGAAAGTGCCGGAATGTTGCGAAGACTGTGATGGTGAGATATGATATGGCAAAAACGTTTTATCTCCCATCGAACAAAACTGAAATTTTTTTGGCCGATTCACGTAGTATTAGGTACTGATTTCTCTTGCAACACCTCGTCATGCTCCAAGGGTTCAGTTCATGTAATAAGACTTCCCATTTTACATCGGAATTTTTGGCTGATTGAAGATTGCTTTCTGGGAAGGAAGCAATTTCTGGTTGCTGAAGCCAGTGTCATGCCCCAGGTTTCAGTCATGTATTAATTTGACTGGTGATGATCATGTAGGGGGTTTCAGTGAGGTGCCGAGGGAGCGGGGGTTTGAAGTGTTGAGAATCCGGCGTGGCGGTCAAGCAAGGTGCCCACGCCTGCCGGAGGCGAAGAACACCAAGATCTTTAAACCTATACGTCTCTGATAGCCAAAGTAGAAATTAATGATTGATAATTGAAATATTGTGTATTTAATTACAAAGCAGAGTAGTCATTATATAGGAGAGTGTTTTGGTAGTAGGTGAGGAGTAGGTGAGGGTAAATTGTTGTTAGTGTAGTAGTTGAAGTAAGGTGGTGTAAGGTGTAGGTAAATTCTAACAGTAATTTTGTTTTGCTCGCTCTAATAGGTATATTTCTTTGACCTTTAAATATTCTTTTTATTCATAATGTATTGAATGCTAGTGTAACTTACTACCTTGCACATATGTTTATTGTCATTTTTCTTACTGAGGAATTTAAGTACATGGATTTGTATAAATTAGTTGTTCAGTAGTAGGTTTTCATTGAATATATTAGACATAAACATGATATTATTGTGGGTTGATAATTGTTTATTTGAATATGAGAAAATCTCTTATGATCAAATTGTTTAACACTTACAGTGGAAAATTATATGTGAATGTTGTTCTTTCTTGATAAACCTACAGAAAATGTTATTACCCTATGTTCATTCTGATTTAATTCTGTGTCTCCTCTTTATGGTCCTAACATTCCTCTCGTTTTTGCTTTCTTGTGGACGTCAAATTGGAAAACTAAACCAAGCAGCAAGTGGTTTTGGAGAAGATTGGTCATGAAGGTTGCTTTTTTTTTCTTTGCTTTGTTTTCTGCTTTTCTGCTTCATATCCTTTGATATTCCACATCTATGTCTCCCCTTTTTGTTGTTCTCAATGCTCTTTGTCATTTTGTCTAGGTCTGAACAATTTGTTAATGGCATATGAGGATAAATCAGCCTATGCTCTGTGTGTATTTTCTCTTGCTCTTGGTCCAGAGATAGAGCCAATAACTTTTATGGGAAAACTCCAGTAAGATTATGTGCTTGCTCTTTCTTAAAATTATAGTATTAATGGCTGGTTCTGGAGTTATGAGCACTCAGACTTTGGATGTGCTCATTATGAATGTGAATGCTGCATGTATGTATTCATGTTGATCTGTTCATATATATGAAAATGTGATATAACAGTTATAATTTATTGAAACAAATAATAGACTACAGTTGAACTAGCATTAAGTTTACAGCACATATAACTATGTGAAATTTATTTCTTCACTTGAGCACCAATTTGGCCCAACTATAAAAGTTCGATTGGCACATGGCTGGATAAGTTCTACTAACAGCAAACTTGTTATGTGAAGGCATTTGCAGCATGTATAAATATATCCTTTGAAGCATGTGTTAATTTGAACTTGGATTAGAATGTCTATATTTATGCAGCAGTTCTGGTTTTATACTAAGTACGACGAGTAGGGGTTGCACTCTCCAACTGCAGCAATCCCGATAATAATATATGGTAGCCAAAAACCTAGGCTTTGGGGCTGATTTTAATTGGGTTTTATGGCTGAATGTTTAGTAACACATATTAGGGTTTGTATGGCATAATAAAGGGGTAAGGGTTTCAACATGAAAAATTGGGATTTTTTGGCACTTTTTAGAGGCTGTTCTGGTGCTGTGAATTGTAGACAAGAACATAAGAATTTGCAGATTATAAAAATAAAGAAGAAAACTAGGAATCACTTTGGAATCCCCGAGGCATCACACCTAAGGTTAGATTGCATCACACAATCCATCGAAAGCGTGCTGTCAAAAGGTTCAAAAAAATCTCGAAAATATGTTCTCTATTAAATATAGACTATGGAAACTTCCTACACTGACTAGGACTGAGATGCAACAAAACTATTGAACTTTTAAGAAACCACTAAACTTTTGACTTCTAGAACGTATCTAATACCAAATAAGAATTAATTAAATAATTTGACCCACAAGGCCACTCATAAGCGACCACCCTTGATATATAAAATACCTGCTAACTGGTTGATTGGTGTGGTGCCTATATGATGTGTCATGCACTGAATGGAATTCACAAGAGGCCCTTTGTGTGGATCAATGGTCTAGAGTTCACTTCCATATTGAATTTACTAGAATCAGACCATACCAGAAACCTAGAACTACTTTTGAATGACTCCTCTCCAATGCTTCCATGTTTTGAGGGAGAAATTGGAAGAAAGCCAGACTTATGATGTAGACATTTAAAATAAATAATAATAATAATTTTTTTTTTTAAAATACCTGCAAAAAAAGGGAACAAAATGCACTATATGTGATCCGCTTTAAGGGAAATTATGTCAAGCTATCCTTAGAATTAGTAGTCTTGAAGTTTTGCAAAACATAAAGGTTAACATAAATTTCCCTGAAACTACGAGGCAGCCTGGGAAAATTATCTTCTAACAAAGATCAGCTGTGATTTATATTTACTGTAACTTTATGCTTTAACTAAGAGAAGATAATACCATGGACACCATGAGTAATCTACAAGGGCTAATAAAAACATTTGCTACTAGTTCTTTCTTTCCCCCCTCCCCCGCAACACACACACACACACACACACGGCAAGATCTTTGCACCACTGTTTACAATTCTTTTTCTGTTTAGCATGATCTGTAATTGTTTTTATCATTTTGTACTTTTTGAAAATGGGAAATTGTACTTGTATATGAACTGTCAGTGGATGAAGAGGGTAAAATTGGAATCTCAAATGTGCCCTTTTACTCAAATTATTAGCACTGATATTTGACTTGAGTTTGACATTATAGGGGAAGATAGTTCCTCCAAGAGGACCCAATGATTTTGGATGGGATCCAATGTTTCAACCCGATGGTTATGATCAGACGTAATCCTTGTCTCATTTCACTCTACCTTTTTAGTTTACTCGGTGGTATATTCTATATGCTAACACAAGTACAAGAAGCTAATTGTGTTGTTTTTGACTTACTTTTGTAGTTACGCTGAATTGCCTAAAGAAGAAAAGAACAAGATTTCTCACCGCTCCAGAGCTCTTTCATTAGTGAGGTCCCATTTTGCCCAGGCTGAGTATGCGTTCCAGATGGACCCCTCTATCTAATGGTGAGTGAGCTATATGGTTTTTTGTCTTGCCCACCATAATAGGTTTATGAACAATTGCAAGATCCTCTCTAAACAATGTCGGTGCTTCCATTTTTTCTCTAATGTTCTGTCAAGAAAAGGATGCTTTTGCTAATTTTGTGGGTATAATCGATAGAGGTGAAAAAATATTTAATGTTCGACAACCTGATTGAAGTTGGATAAAACTGTTATTTTACTATTATACTTTCTAACTGTAGATTTAAAAGTTATTCCGACTTTAGAAACTGAATATTACAATTCACAAAAAATAAAAAAATAAAAAACCTGTGCGATCAGTGTAAACTGGACTATCTAATTAATGGATGTTTGTTCACCAGTAAATATACTGCCTCTGTTTAGTCTCACCGACACTGGTCTATTTTATTCATATTCATATTGGTGGTATGCCAGAATAAATTTTATTCATATTCATATTGGTGGTATGCCAGAATAAATTTACATTTTTTCCCCCTGTTTTTCCTCCAGATTTTCTTTTTAAGCCCCAAATGCCCAGAAATGAGTTTCCCATTTCTAGTGGTATGGTCTGGATTACATGGTTGAGTATCAAAAAAATAAAATAAAATACATTGATCTCAAGTTGTAAGGATCAAAAAATGGTCACAAGCTATAGCCATTTGCAACATGTAGGAAGATAAATAGAAGTCAATAGAAGTACTTGGCGGACGAAAAATCATTGTATTCTTTTGCAGTAATGCACTTACAGCCCTAAGAGCCACCGCCACAAATAGGGCAGTTGACAAGTTGAGCGGAGTTTTGGTGCGCTCACCAAACATTTAAATAAATAAAAAACTAAATTAATAAAAATTAATTTATAAATCTTTGTGTTCATGGGCCTATATGAGCCAAGTTTGGTTGTACTTAAGTTAGGCTCGATTATTAAATTGAGCCTAGAAGTTTGGCTTAAGCACAGGTTTGGGATGTTGGGTTGGGCTGGATTGGGGTTAAAGTTGTCACAAAAATACAAAATAGGTTTTTTAGTCTTAGGCTAAAATAATCAAAAAGTTAAAGTCTACGTACGTCCCAAATGAAACCTAAGCTTATGTATTTAGTGAATGAACCGAACTGAAGCAAGCTTTAAAGGAGCCGGGCTTGCTACTGATGAGTAACTTTGTTCGTTGCAATCCTAGCCACATTCACGAGACCCCATGCATATAGCAGGATGGCCCAGGAGAATACCTTCTGCCATACAGGGTGCTTGAATTTCCACACCCCCAGAAAGTACATGTTCCCAAACTAATGATCCAAGTTGAAGCAATTGAGTAAAATTTCTGATAATTATTATTCCTTTTTTCCATTTATCACAAGATCCAATTGAAACCTTATAGCTCGTGAGGTCTCTGTCTGTCTTCTTTTTTGACATTCAAATCCATGTTATGGTGACTTGTATTAAATGTGCTAACAGTACACATGTTTGTACCAACCCTAACCCACTGAAAGCCATCAATGCCACAACCAAATGGTTGAACATTGAAGGTGGATTGAGAGTGACAACTCCAATTGGGTTCATGTTCAACACATACACACACAATACATGCAATATATTTGGTAATAATGAAAATGTACTCTGAATCTTATTCTGAAAATAAGTGTGGTGTAGATTTAAAATTAGTAGGATGTGAATCACACTCACAATGCTTATAGACCGTTGACTCATTTTTCTTGATAATTTTTTGAATACTTTTTTTGAGTTTATAATATTGGTGATATATTTGTTGAGCTATACATGTGGTTATAGGCAAATGGGCATTGAAATGACCCTCACATTGTCTGAAATTGGAGAGGAATGCCTCACATGCATTAAGGGTCCCATTTTCCTCACATGCCATGTGAAAATTGTGGCTATGAAGTTGGCTGTGCCTTTGGTTAGCCATTTGGTGCTTTTATTTTTGAAAAAATGAACTTCATTAATTGATTCAGAACGTCAATTTCTTGATAGTTTCTAACGATATTTTCAAAGTTAAAAGAAAGGAGGAATTACACAATTTTGTGGATAAAATAATTTATGGATAATTATACGAATCTATTCAGTTTGACAAATATGAGGTCATCTTGTGCGGTTTTTGAAAGGAAAATGATTCATTCCTACAAAAATTTCCCTCAAAAACACTTCTTTGATTCGTAAGAGTTTAGCGTTACAGAGTAAGTGAATAGGTTAGGGATGTAGCATGACTTTTTGAAATTATCCTCTACTTTTTTTTTTAAAAACAATATGCGCAAGTTTCCCCTTGTTATTTATCTGTTACAGGTGTTGATAGAAGAAATTCATAATTTCAGATGCCATTAAATACATCCCAAAAAAAAAAAAACATTTTGCTAGACTGATCCCTATGCTAGCTTTGGTTCTTAACGAACAAATCCTATAGATTGTATTTGGATATGGGATTTGATGATGAATTTGCGGAGGAAGATGAAATGGAAAGGAAAAAGATAAATTAATTTTTTCTCACATTCACTTTTCTTCTTTTCTTTTTTCTTTTTTTTTTGTCACAAATTTTCGATCCAAAATTGCCATAAAGGAAAGGTTTTAGAGAGAAGATTTTAAGGTGTATATAGAAACACATGCGGTTGATTTTACCATTTTAAGGGGTGACTCTATTTATACATCACCTTTCTTTTCAAGGTACACCATTAATTAATTTATTTTTTTATTACAATTTTAACCTTAGGTGAAATGACTATAATGGACAAGGTATGATACACACCATTTATATAATTACTATAAAGGACCGGACAAACTACTCTTGTTCGAAAGAAATGGATTGGACAAACTACTCTTGTTCGACAGAAATGAACCGGACAAACTATTCTTGTTCGAAAGTCAAGTGTCAAACTCTATATTGTTCGACAGAAATTGACCGAACATATGTTTGGGGAAATGTTTTAAAAATCGGACCGGTGAGTGAACCAGAAAAATGATCGGGTGGACGGGTCATCGGTTCAACCGTCGGGTTGAACTGGAATCGAACCGTGACATCATAAATATATTTAAATTATATTCAAATAAAAATATAAGTAATAAAATTATAAATTAAAAATTTTAATAATCTTAAATATTTTTCTTAATACTTTTTTTATTAAAAAATATAAAAATATATTTAAAAATATTATTAATTTTAATTTTGGAAGAAGAAATCAAATATTCAATATTTCCTCCATATGATTTTAATTCAAATAATTTGATTGAAAGAAGAGCAAAAAATTTGGAGGGATATCAAAATTTTAAGTTTTCCTCCAATAAATTTGATTAAATCCCACATAGATTTCTTGAATTTTTTTGGAAGAATTTTTTTCTTATAAATAGATAGAAGCTTTCACAATAATTTCAAGCTCTCAATGGGATTTCTCACAAGAGAAGACCCTTAAAAGAGAGTTTCCAATTAAATTTTTATTATATATTATATATATATATATAAAATAAGAAAGAAAGAATAAAAAAAATACAAAAAATTCGTTTTTAAAACCCGGTGAACCGGAACCGGTTCGGCGGTTCAATCGTCGGTTCACCGGTTTAACCGGTGGGTTCACCGGTTTTCAAAAAATAGCCTGGTTTTTTCAATTGGCCGGTTTAAGAGAGTTGACCGGACCGGAACCCCATCCGGTCACCGGTTCAACCGGTTGAACCGGCCGGTCCGATCCAGTTTTTAAAACCATGGTACATGTATAATGCTTTTGAGAAAAATTGGTGAATTTGGGAAGGAGATGTATTCCATTGAATTAAGTTGGCCTGTGTGTCCAGCATAAAAATCCTGAAAACATTCCCACGGATGAAATATCCGTAAAATGACGGAATTAGTGCTTGTATAGCGTATGTTTACATGGGTGCCGGTTACGATTTCCCATAGACGAAATATCCTTGAAATGTTGTATTTTGAGATTTCCAGAGTTATGATTCATGGCCCTATTTTCTAATGTAAAGGAAATGAATGATGGATTGTGATATAAACCGGACTTTGCACGTCTTGATCATGAGCATTGCATATGCATTTCATCTTTATATCTGTGTTAAGATTCATATATTGTGTTGGATTATTTCTTCTGGGTTTTGACTTACCCTATATGGGAAAATTATTTTCAGGTGTTGGTGAAATGACTCTACCAAGGCAGTAGCTTCGGAAGATTGGAGCAAGTGTTTCATTTTGTTTACATGTTCTAATTATTTTGTGTAAGGCTAGGATTTTATCTGTATTGGATTTAAATCCATTTTGATGTAACCAAGTACAATCTTGGAAAGTTGTAGCCTTCAGGGTATTTCAATTATCTGTTTAACTTCTATTTCATATCTTTGTTGTTGACACATGCTATAGATTCAGAATTACAACTTATAAATGTATATTTGCATGTGTCACCCTTTTTACAATTGCGTCTTATGTAATTGAAGGATATTATATTCTGATTTATATTATTATTTACTTATCGTCATGGATGATTTATTGAATTTATTTCGGATATTATTCAAAAATGGATTGTTTATAAGGGATTTGGTAGTGTAAGCAAGTAATAAAATCTGGTGCGTGACAATTTTATCACTATTATTAATAGAGTTAATTTTGTATTTTAGTTCACAACCATAAAGAGTTTCTTGGTCTATTTGACTATAAAAAATAAAGTGTTCCAAGACAAAACTATAAAAGACTATTTACATTATTTATTACATTCACTATCGTTCAGAATGGTGGTGTTTGGTGTAGCTGTTAAAACAGATTATAGATTATAACTTAACAGATTATAGATTATGACTTTAATCAGAAGCGGTTAATCTGTTTGGTATAGCTGTTGGATTATAGATTTAAGTTGCTGAGTAGTGTTTGTTAAATAAGCTGTGAAGTAGCTTTTTCAATTAATTTTTATTTTTTATTATTCACTATTTGTCTATATTTTTCATAAAAAATAATAATAATATTTAATAGTCCATTTGAGTCTTTTTCTATTTTTAAAAAAATAAAAAATAAAAAAATCTAAGAGTATAACCGTGAATTAACATGTCCACAGCAGAAGCTGATAATCAGAAGCAAGGGGTGAGCAGCTTCTCAGAATCAGCTTTTTTGACTTAAAATAAGTTGTTACAATCAGAAGCTGTTTGAAATAAGTTTAACCAAACAGTCCAAAATAACTTTTTAAAAGCCAGAAGCCATAAGTTGGCTTAAAAAAGCTGCACCAAACACCCCCAATATATGATACTTTCAAACTTTTT